GAGAGAGAGAGAGAGAGAGAGAGAGAGAGAGAGAGAGAGAGAGAGAGAGAGAGAGAGCAGAAAAGCTTTTTCGCTGCATTGCAGATGAATTTATGCATTGTGATTCTGACTTTGTTGGCAAGTTAGGCCTGTGTAAGTGGGCATGATGCTATGTGACAGATCTGTCCGAGACTAACTCCTACAATTCCCCCTCTCTATTGGATGGGAAAACTAATTACCTGAGCATGCTTGTCCTGTTCAATGTGGTTATGTGATTGTAGGTGATATGGGGAAAGAACAGAAGTGTGAAGAAAGGGGTATGATGGAGCAATTCACTCGGCATGCACAAGTGCTTGATGTCATAGTAAGCCCTCTCCCTTTATCTCACCCCTACTGACCAGCCTTGCTCACAGGTGCCCACTCACATTGGAGCACTCTCATTTCTGAGCACCTGTTGCGCATGTCAGAGTTGCAATACCTGCTGAGGCTGCTGTGCTAGCTTGCACCTGATGACTGCTTTAGAGGGGGGGGGGAAACAGCGGCGTATCTTCCCATGTTCCAGCGGGAGATTCATTCTCATTTTCCACATTTGGTCAGGGCTATAGCCAAGACCCAAGGGATCCTGGCGTCGCCCGAGTAAGGCCTTACACGTGCTGCCTTTCTTTTTTTTTTTTTTTAAACAAAACAGGTCCTCATGGGCCTGGCTCCTTTTCCATTCTGGGGAGCGTCAGTCCGGTTCCTATTCTCCCGGCAAGTCAAGATTGAATACAATATGAGAAAACACACTCACACTTCCTTCCATATGGCTGAAGGACCCCTGACCAGCATTGATTGCTCCCTTGAGGGAGGATTCACTGTCAGCTTGCCCTAACAACTTGCTCCTCTCAGGTTCCCTTCCTGGGCCTGTCAAATAGACCTATTCAAAACAAGAGAAAGTGGTAGGATCCGCCTCCAGTCACAGCTCCAAGGCTCCTTCCTCGCCCAACTCCCTCCTGATACCCTTGTTGCTCAGCATACGACATTGTTGTCTGTATCGGGACTAAGAGGTAAGAAGGCTGAAATGCAAGGAACATGAATGTGGACGAAGCACAGAAATCCAGATTGCAAAATCACACTGAAGTCCAAGTAGTCAAAGCAAGAGCAGATAGCACAATGGAACCGAGTAACCATCCATTTGAGAACGATACAGAAGAATCGTGAGTCAATATCCAAGCCCAATAGGGCAACACCAACAGCATAACCCAATGTAGCTCTCTCTCTTGAATGGCGCCAGGCACCCTACCTACTCTACAGCCTATCACTACAACTACAGCATGAAAGCAACCAGACAACTTGACAACCAGCGAGTGATGATGTCAACACCAATGCCGACCTCCCCTCTCCACCAGGTACGTCTCTCTCTTCACCCTCACTCTCCCTTGTTATCCCACACAGCCTTCACCTCCAAAGAACCACTTTTGCCCTTCACCTCCTCTGCGCCCACAGGCAGCCCGGCTATGGCCGCCAGCGCCCTGCGCCCAGGCTGCACTCTACTGCTTAGCGCTAGCCTGTCTCCCTCAGCCGCAGCGCAAGTGCAGCGCTACAATGCAGCAGCGTGCCCGCAATGCCTGCATTGGCCAAGATCCCTGCCCACTCGCCCTCCCTGCCTATATGCCAGTGTTGCGTGTGGGCGGCCTCCCTTGAGCCTGCGCCTGGGCCCCATTACCTGTACCCAGGCCCAGTGCGGTTGGGGCCCAGGAGATGCAGTTGCGCCTCTTTCATCAAGGCCTGCGGCCAGATTCAGATAGTAGACTGGTTTCCCATTGGCATTTTCGGCCTCTATATCCAACATGCATTGTCGGCCTCACGTTTATGTGCCCAGGGCCTAACCAACTCTGGGGCCCTGGGATTTCTGCATTCGCAGAGCTCCGATACTCGGTGCACTCCAACCAACTGGCATGCTGCAACTGTATGGACCTCACTTCGTGAAATGTTTGCACAGAGGGCTCTTGTTGATTTGCTGGCCTTCACTTAGGGCGGGCACGAGGCTAAGTGAAGGCGGGCCAGCAAATCAACATGGCAAGGACCCTTCTTGAGGGCTCAATCCCCACATTCCATCCTCCTTAGCTTCGAAAGTCCGCTGAGATGCTTACTTCGCAGGTGCTTTCCCTTTTAACATTCTCTCATATTCTGCCACCACTTGAGGAGCTGTGTCAATCAGTTCTTCTCTGGTGAACCACCGATCTTTCTTCGGATCCGTATGACGCCTGAATCTGACGCGACACTCCCGCTTGGGTTTTGGAGGTCTTCCTCTACCCAGTGGCTTTGGAACAGGCAGATCTCTGTGATCCACAATGTCGTCGATGTCCACTTGACCATCCATGGTTGGGGGCAGCATCGATCTCCTTGAAGGGAATTGATTTGTCGCAGCGAAAGGTGCAAGCTTTGAGGCATGAAAGACAGGGTGAGTGCGTAAGTGACCAGGGATACGGATAACATAGGTAGGACCATCCATCTCATCCCCAACTATATCCAGGACTTCCCATGGGCCAAAATACTGAGGCATTAGTTTGCGAGAGATTCCGAATTCCTGTCCTAACTCACTAGCCTTGACCCAAACACGTTCCCCTACCTGAAATGAGGACTGCCGACGATGTTTGTTCTCAGAAGCAATCATTGCTTGCTGAGCTTTCTTGATGTGTTCGGCAACTTGCTGTAGCAACTTCTCATACTGCACACCATACTCGTGTGCCTGGAGTTGCAGACGGTCGATTTTCAGGCAGGAGGAAGTCCTGAGCTGATTTAGGCTTCCATCCCAAGTGTAGCTGATTAGGACTAACGCCGATACTGTTGTGTACAGCGTTGTTGTACAGGCTGGCGATGAGAGGACAACTAATCTTTTAAATCCGGCCTTATCAAGAAAGAGAAGCCCGTCTACCATCACAAACTCATTTTCTGTGGCCTTGTCTTTTGCCTGAAGTTTGCGTATGATGTCCATCGTGACAGGGTCTTCCTGATAGGCTCCCACCAGCGATTGAGTTAGTTCCTCAGACACACCAAAGTCAGGAACTAGCGCGCCTAGGTAGTCTACTCTACGTGACAGCGCATCTGCAATCTTGTTGTACTGTCCCTTCAGATACTCTAGCTTGAAGTCATACTGATCTATGACCTTAATCCAACGCTTGAGTGCATCAGAAAGAGCCGGTTGAGTCTTGATCCATTTAAGGGTCTGATGGTCAGTTCTCAAATAGAAGAACCGTCCTAACAGAAAGTGCCTCCAATGGACAAGTGCCTTGTAGAGAGCATAAAGTTCCCTTTTATAGGTGGATTTTGCCAGTTTCTTTGATGGCATCTTTTTGCTCATGTACTCAATCGGTCTCAACTTCTTCCCATCCTGTTGAGCCAGCACTACGCCAATGCCGTATTGGCTTGCGTCAGTGGTTACAATGAATGGCTTCTGAGGATCGGGCACCATGAGAACTTCATGATTCATGAGTGCATGCTTCAATCGTTTGAAAGCAGCCTCACACTCATCACTCGAGTCCCACGGCGTGTCAAGTCGAGTTAGATCAGTCAAAGGAAAGGCGACTGTAGAATAGTTCTTTACGAAGTTTCTATAGTAGCCGCACATTCCTAAGAAAGATCTGACCTCAGTAACAGTCTGAGGTCGTGGCCAGTCCCTTATACTAGCCACCTTCGCATCTTTCGGCCTAATAACTTCCGCGGATACTTCATGACCCAAGTATAAGATCTTAGTGCGTCCAAACTCACATTTCTCTAGGTTGACCTTATACTTGTGCTGTCGCAGGAGTGAGAGTACAGTCTCAACATGCTGTGCATGCTCCTCAACAGACTTACTAAAGATAAGAATATTGTCAAGGTAGACTACGACAAACTTATCTAAGTGGTCATGGAAGATCCTATTCATGGCGTGCTGGAATGTACCCGGCGCATTGCAAAGGCCAAAGGGCATCACTACAAACTCATACAGACCGTATCTGGTCTGAAAAGCAGTCTTGTGCTGATCCTCAGGTCTTATTGCAATCTGATGGTAGCCGGATTTTAAGTCTATCTTGCTATAGTACTTACATCCCTGCACCCTATCCAATAGGTCGTCTATGCGAGGTAGAGGCTCTGCGTTTTTCACCGTGATGGCATTGAGGCCTTTGTAATCAATGCACATCCTCAATGTACCCCCCTTCTTCGGTACAAATAGCACTGGAGATCCGTAGGGGGAAGTACTCGGCCGGATCCATCCCTTCTTTGTCAGCTCTTTCAGTTGTCGCCGAAGTTCATCCAACTCGGCCGGAGCCATCCTATAGATCCTTCCCTTTGGGGTTTTACTCCCTGGAATGATTTCTATGGCATGGACAATCTCCCTCTCTACGACTCCTGTAGGCTCAGTGAACAAATCAGGGAACTTAGCAACGACGCTTTCTATCTCTGGGGGTGTTTTAACGGCCTCCCCTTTCTCAGAGACATACACTAGGTACATACCCTCCTTTTGGTTCTGTTTATAGCAGTTGTAGAACGCTGATGCACACAAGCAGCCATAGGTATCGATTATACTACTGGCTTTGAACTTAGTCAGTCTCACTGTTCTTCCACTAGGCAACTTATGCTTTAGCACCTTCTTGTCCCAGTCAAACTGGGGCTTGGCAACCTCAAGGTAGTACATTCCTAACAGCATATCGAATGGTAGGTCGTCGCTAACTAGGAACAAAATCTTGTGATTAAGTTCCCCTCCTCCATAGGAGAAGGTACGGACTACATCCTTGATATAGTCTGTGACAATCATGCGCTCCTTATTGGCCAAAGTAGATGCTACGGGTCTACTAAGGTGCTGTACCCGGTCCTGTAGGTGCACCCTTTCCAAACAGCCGCGACTTATGTAATTCTGCGTGGAGCCGATGTCTATGAAGGCACCACATTTGCGGCCTCCTACATAAACTTCCACAACGAAATGTTCCCCTCTTAGGACCTTTCCTTAGTGCCACCGAAGATTCACGAGGGTCCTTACTTGACCATTCACTTTCCAAATCTTCTAAGGCTTCAGACACATCCATCGTACAAAGCATGGTTTGGTCTGGATGAGTCTGCAGGGTGACTAAAGAGTCATTAGCTATGGCCTGCTCATGAAGTGGGGAGGGTATCTGGCCCACTTCACCTTGAGTAGAAGCAGCTAAAACTTCCACCGGCCTTACGTGTTTCCCGAGCTAGAAGCCCGGGAAGAAGGAGGTATCTTCTGCGTGACCTTCGCGTTCTTGCACTTATACTGGGTGTATTCGTATTCACCACAGTTAATGCAAGCGCCACGCACTCGGCGGTCCCGCCACACTTCTTGATCAAGACCTGCCTTGACCCAATCAACAACTTTGGTCTGATTGGAGGCGGCCTGCCCTTGACTCTTTTGATGGCCCTTCCCTCGGCCACCGGTCTTAGTCTTTACAACTGCGGCGAGGGTGCTACCCTCAGCGATTTCCTCGCCGTCGTACTCTGAATAGTCCAACAGGTCTGTGAGCTCTTCGATCTCCGTTTGAGTCCCATCGGACTCAACCATCATCAATTTGCTCCCCTTCTTCTTCCATTCCTGTGGACCCTTCTTCTTCCTCGTGTCTCCTAGAGTAGGTTGAGCACTTCCTAGAGTAGCCTCTAAGTCTAAGGCTTTTCTAGATAGTGTCTCAAACGACATCCCACAAACATGGTCAATAAGACCTGGTCATCGTAGTGTATGCCGAGAACGACGATGAGGCTCTCAACGGTAGTCGTTAGCTCTCTGACTGACTTAAACTTTCGTTGGTTGCTCTCTGAATGACTTAAACCGTCGTACTTTGAGTAGTGTATGCCAGACATCATTTCGTTTTTGCAAATCCTATCGATGGAATGTGTGTGTGTGTGTGTGTGTGTGTGTGTGTGTGTGTGTGTGTGTGTGTGTGTGTGTGTGTGTGTGTGAGAGAGAGAGAG